TAGAAATATTTATTATATTCATTCCAGTTATGTTCGGTATTGCTATTTTAATCTTTTCATGCAAACAAAATCTGTTTAAGGATAAAATTAACTGCTGAGCCTTGAATCAAAAAGCTATTCAATTGTGGATAATTGTTAAAAAAAAGTTTTGAAATTAGATTTCTTCTCTGACTAAACCGATGTATGTTGCCTGAATTTCTGTTTGCATATGGATCTACATGTGGTCTATATATTTACATTCGTTCTATCTGTCTGTCCATTTAAGGTAGTAATTTTTTAAAACACTTTTTTAGAATATTCAAATTTCCGCTTCTTCTTTGTTCCCAAACAACTGAAATTTGGTTGATTAACATCTTTTCCTCATTAAGACTACTGCCTTCTGCATTTTTGTCATCACTATTATCATTATCACCAACAGTGATATGATGCCTTACACTGAAACTCGAATAGCTTACAGTGCTCCATTTACAGTAACTTTAGCTTTATAAATCTTAGTACTACGAAAGCATTTTGTTGGTGATGACTACCAGGAGACGGTGCCAGGAGGTAACGGCACATGGAGGACGAGTCAGTGCTGGCGGTATCATAGAACTACATCAGCTATCATCTCTGATTTCAAAATTGCCTTTCAGCATCTTCTCAGCTGGGGACTGTTGCTGTCAGTTTTGACAGCAAAATGTTATTTATATCCTTCCCGTTTTAAATTTTGCTTTCAAATAAGGTCTTGTTGAAAACAAAGAAATTTTTCAGAAGCGACGGATTGAAAACGGAGTAAAGCAGTAGTTCAGAGTGGTGCGTTTAGTGTGCCAATAACATGTTCTCACTACAATTTTTTCATCTTAAAATAACTTCAAATGATATCAATTTTCATTTTTGAAGAGTGTTGAAAATGGTATCATTGCTTTCTTAGAAAACGGCGTAAAGCAGTAGTTCAGAGTGAGATGTTTTAGTGTGCCATTACTAACAGTAGTCATATCTGATTAACACCTACTTATCATAGAAGTCTAAAAAATCGTGTTTTGTGCGTGGGATGTGATAGAAGAAAATTTATTACTTATTAGTGGTATCCTCGTGATTATTCTTACAAAATACCAAACATCTTCATTCGTGCAAAAAGAAAATACCATTAGCCAACTTCTTCAGGAGCGAAAAACGAAAGACAATTTTAGCAAGGAGTCAGTTTGATGATTAATGTTTTCAGAAAGCAACTCTTAAACACTCAAAAATCATTCTTTATGGATGATCTTTACTTATCCCAGCTGAGTAAACAAAGAAATTCATGTTGGTAGAAATTAAGTTTATTTGTCATTTGTCTTAATACTGTGTTGTTTCACTTATTCAATTTCTCATAATTTTAAATTACACCAAGGACAGTAAGATAATATGCAGTAGAGCAGTAAGAATTATTATAAAAAATTGTTTGTTCGTTATGAAAAAGTGATATGTGTTAGAATTTAATATGTACTGTGGTTGCGGGAAATAAATCTTTTTTAGGATAATTTCGAACGGTGAGTTGCAGATAATCCAGCCGAAATGCGGTAGCTCTATTAGTAATTGAACTCGTGCTGATAAGATGAGTGGTTAATAAAATAATTTGAAATTACTCTCGAAATTGATTCCATTAGAAAATTAATTCCGCAGTAACTTTATTCCACTTTACATTTGACAAAAACAAAAAAAAAAATCTTGAGAGAAAAGTTGGAATAAAATTCAATCCAAGGAGTCACATGAAAAAGACTTCAGATTGCACCATGCTCTTGCTTGTTTTTTAATCGGAAACGAGTTGTAATGCAAAAAAAATTTTGCAAGTAATATAGATAGATTAGATTAGATTAGATAGACAGATAGATAGATAGATAGAGATAAGATATAGATAAAAGAATCTAACTGAAAGCGATCTAAAATTATCTATCAATTCAAATTAACATTAAAACATGTTGAGAGGATAGGCTTCACTGAAAACCTGTTGACTTCAAAACTGCTTTAATGATAAATTAAAAATTTGACAAGTTTGAAAGCGAAAATTGTTACTTATTTTTTCCATCGTATTTTTTTGGGAAAGGATGAAGAAGACAGAGTTATTTTGATAAATGTAACTAGGCAATGAAGCTAAATGAATTTCGATCACTTCAACACAATCAGTAAATGTACTGGATAACTTTTATCCTTTAATCAATTATGAATAATCTGGTTCATATACTTTAGTTTAGTTTGAAATCAGACTTCAAGACCTCTACCATAATAATTATATTCGATTCTTACTTTATCGTCTCTTGTTATCTATTTGAAGAACTTTATGATTTTCTAATTCTCCAAAATAATTGAATTGATAAGAAAAAAATTGAAAGGAAAAATAGCAATTTTTTTCTAAGACAATGGTGGGAGTAAATTTTCATCCTAAAATTGTGACTTATTAAATTAAAATGATAAGCTGCTATAGTTATTAGTTTTATGATGATAATTCCACTAAAACGATTTATGACTTAGAAAAACAAATGCATCTTTATTACAATTCACTGACAAACCAGCAGATGATGGCACTTTGTGAAATTGTTTCCCCAGATATTTATAAAAGTATAATTTATCGGTTTATATAATTATTTCATAAAATTAATGTAAAAGATGACATATTACCTATTCATTCTCGAGGTGGTAATCATCACATCATCTTAATCAAATTTGATTTGGTTTATGTCCCTCTCCATTCGTAAAATCAAAGTTGACTGACTGCTTCTTAGAGTTTTTTTTTTCCTTCTTTTTCTTTTCTTTTTTTTTTTTTTTTTATTTAAAATAAAACATAGCGTCACTTGTCAACGTTATAAGCAATCAGTTGAATTTTTTTCATGTGTTCACCACTTTTTTTTCACACGCAAACACTAGCAGGAAACAGAATTTAACGCGATGTTCGTATCACCCTGAACCATCCTCCAATAGTCATTTTTTTACTACCAACTAAGGATAGATGTTAAAAAAAACGTTCCTTAGATATGGCCTTGACGCGCCATAACCGGCCAGGAGAGCAAAGCCATAATTTCATCTGATGTTAGATCTTGTAGCAATTTATGTTCCTTTATCAAAGCTTTCTCAGATTTTTGTTTATTCAAAGAAAGGGTCCTAGATAACATACAACGCAAGTTGAAAACACTTCTTCGTTATTTGCTTATCATAAAAAATTTTTCAAAAAGTATTTATTAAGCATAAATTATGTTTAAATTATGCAACTTTTAAATGTATTACTTCCCTAAATAAACAAAATAAATTGACAGATTATAATGTTGGGAATTTAGTTTTGGAAGTATCATTGTCTATACTTCAAAATTAGTAGTTCAGAATTCTGGTACTGATGTTTATGTATTGTACAAACAATACCATAGCGTCCAGATTTCCTGCAAAACTTTCCTTTTTTTTTACATCTTATTTAGTATTCACCAACTTTTTCTGAATTCTTTTAAAGTTTTGCTACATGAAGAAAAGCAACAATTGGTAATGCCATCCTTAAAGATTGCATTGCAAATTGTCGAATGATTTCTGCTTTCACTTTCCTATACTTACTACTGTCAACATTTTTTAAAAAATTAGCTTCTAACTGAATGAATAGGAATTTGCGCTAAAGCAGTGTGGTTGAAACAATTTGATTTTCAACAATATTTAAGCATGAAAAATAGTAGGATTCTAAAATAATCTCAAACATTTAGCACTGTTTCTTCTAAATTTGAAAATTTTAATACTTGCCGTTCTAAAAACAAAACATGGAACTGTTATTATTGATATAATTCAACTATACGTTCATTTGCATAAGCTTTGTCGTACACTGGAATACCGTACTTAGTACCACAGATTAGGAGAAGTGAAATAGAAAAGGAAGTAAGGAGGAGAGGAAGTGATAGGAAAATGTCCTACCGATGGTAGTGCTCGTGCTTGTGTTCTACTGGTGATATCAGCAAACGGGGAGCGGTAGGGCGGGTAGGATGGGCTGGGCAGAGCAGGGTCCACCCTCATTCATCCCCTTGCAAAACTACTTAATTACTCGTGCTCATGCTGCTTCCGAAATCAAACCCTGCAATGATAGTTAAGAATATAAGCTGATCTTTTGTCTTCCTTTTATCGACTCACTTATAAGACTTATTCATTTGCTTTTTCATAGTTTGCATCAGATAGGTAATTAGATAGTTTATTAATCAAGTTTGTTATTTTAATCAGTTGTAAATTAACTTCTTATTAGTTAAATAAGCGGCACGATTAAACTGTACTGAAAAAAAAAACGAGTAAAAAGTTACTGTGCTAAATATTTGTGGTATTTATTGGAAAATATGTGAGTGTTTTGTGAATGTCATTTAATACATTTTAACTGAATTACCTTTTGTTATTAATATCTTTACTTTTCTTATTATTTTGAGTAAAAGAAAAAAGTGCTCAGGGCTTTTCAAATTTCGTTTACAAACGAATTTACTAACCCTTGTATACTTTATGAATGCAAACAATGTAGGAATGAAACTTATTTTTAAACATGAATAAATTAAATTTGTAAATTATAAAATAAACATTTATTTACTGCGTTTATGAATGTATTTATTGTTCTAATTGTTTTAAATTAACGGTTTTAGTTATTTAACTCGGTCTAGTTAGTTTTTTATATCTTATCACATTCTAATTTAAAGTACTGCTAACATGCTTTATTTATAGAATTGACCGTCTTTACATTTAAGTGATTATGTCGATCAACATCATCCCTACAGAATAACAACGTGACAACTCTGAAAAATAGCTATTACTGTTATGCTTAGTATAAATCATAATCATGTCATTGATAACATTGAAGCCACTATTCAACGCATAATTTATATTAATCACATTTTATACGATCATTGTGTTTGGACTCATCAGTTGTTCAAATCCTACTGAAATATTACAGATGGCATCCATTCACTATATGATGTGATTAATTGTCACCAAATTTTTCTTGTCTGAATATATCCGTAATCATTCGATATATATTAGAAATGAAAACGACCGGTGTATTGTTGCTGTGGGCGGTATGCGTCGCCTTATCGTTAAGTGTTAGGGATGAGTGCATGGAACGCCACAAAATATGTTCGGTGAAAGATCGCTTCACAATGCAAAGAATATGTCGAAAAAGCGGTGGATTGTTGAAACATACACTGAAATATGCCGGGAAAGGTTTGTTCAAAAAATAGCAGCTAACTTTGAATTTCAAAATTTGAAGTTATCGTATGTATCCAATAGAATAGGATGAATAAAGTTGCGAATAAGATGACTTTTAACTTTCCACGATCACTTTTGTAGTCTTTTGCTGTTTTTGAAAAATTTATCTACTTAGCATCCGTTTAAACCGTTTTTTTGAACCTAAATTGAATGAATAATTATTTCTTAAGAAGTGGGAAGTTCAAGCACTATATGGAGTTAGGGAAGTAATAGAAGAGAATTAACCAATTGCGACGAAAATTTTTACTCATAAAAATGTTAAGACTATTCTGCTGGAACTAGTGCAAAGTTTTTAACATTAGTTTTTTATTAATTAGTTATTTTCATACGGAAAATTTTAAGCTGGAATGGATACAGTAATCGTATACTTATCGATTTCTTTTCAGAAATAATCTCGGATTGCTGTCGGCCAAATGGTTGTACCAGACAGTACTTATGCGACTTCTGTGAAAATTCTTGTTGTCAAATTGCGGTTGATATGATGATTATGGATTAGTCACTGTTATAAAACAGATTACACCATGCATCATATTTACTTAGCGAAGTTAAATTCGTCAGTAATTGGTTGTATCAACAATCGACATTGAGTCTTTTCCATAAACAAGCTGTCGTTACAAATGGTGTTGAAATATATTTGCTTGTCAACAAATGTTTTCTACGGAATACTGTATCTTAATGCACTACGTTTAATGCCAAAAAAGATCTTACCGTATTATTTTTAATTTTTAATCATTTCTAATTTTTGATAGGTTGACTTGAACTTCGATCTGCTTTGGAGTGCAAATAACACATTAATTTTTTCGTTGATAAGTCATAATATATTTTATATTGCATTAATGATTTTAATGAATAGTATAATATAGTAACTGTTTAGCATAATGCTAATGTCACTGACAACGCTACACTTTTCTCATCGAACCACAATTAGATAAATCTACTTATACTTGTATTTAGCATGCCTGGAATGAGTCATTCCTTCATTTCCTTCTTGTTTGTTCTTTCGCCTTTTAAGTTTATTATATTACCTGTTAAATTTTATCTTCTTATTTATTAATTGGTCTCACTAATTTTGAGAAGTAGAAAGAAACAGGAGAAAGATGGATAGGTAAGCTACACGTTTTGAGATAAGTTTATTTCTTAGGAGGTGGTTCGAAAGTGGTATGATATCGCAATGAATTGTCATCTCAACTTTATTCTAGTCAATTTTAATTGTTATTTTACAGCTGTTTTTACCATGTCATGTTAATCCCATTATTGTATTGCATACTCTCTCTTTCTATATATATATATATATATATATATATATATATATATATATATATATATATATATATATATATATATATATGAGTGTCATCACATAACTATTTATGATACTAATGCCATTACTGGGAATAAACCGTTCCCTTTATTTACATACTCTTGTCTTCCTGTATCATTGGACAGTACGATAGGTCATGAGATGAATGAGTACGATAAATCGCAAAAAATATACAAAGTTGGTAAATCATGGGATGCTCTGAATGAACAATTAATTGTTCATCCTATACATCTCATATGTCCTCTAGCAAACTGGGCATCAATGAAATCACAATTCAGACGGTGTAGTGAACAGGACTTTGTCCACTAGAATAATATCGTACTCATCTCGTTTTTTCCATAGATCGATCGAGCACAGGTCATTATTGCCTGGTCTAACTTTTCCCTTACATACTCCGTCTTCCCACCAGTAGTGCAGCATTATACCAGATAGAGTATTGTAGCAGAACTCCGATCTGATCAATATCAGGGAGCATATAACATCAGGCAGTTTTTGAGGAAGGAACATGAACGGTTGACATGTGATTTTTGTTAAGTTAATGCGAAGGTCAGTGCGATGGTTTACCGGATGTGTATATATATATATATGTCGCAGCTACAGAAGGTGCATATGGTTGACGTGAGTTGTACTACCTGGAGCAAGTTAGTGTCAGTGTCCGTATCGGAACGATTCAAAATGAGAAGAATGCACTCCCTTCTTAAAAATAATACATGTCGGGAGAGGACACATGCCATCCACGAAGGACATTAAATAGCCCTAGCTCTCTCTTTTCTCCTTTTACCCGTCCTCAAATAATCTGTGATATTTGCATACCACGGAAATACAGAGAAAGCCTTCCCTTAAACCTTAGGTAGAATAAGAACACTGAATATTAGTCATTTTATCTATATCTTTCATATATGGTCACTAATGTCAGAACCACATGAATTCGTGATGTGATCGGTATCAAATCAAAGTCGGCATAATACATTTTATTAGTGGAGCAGGGAAAATTTTATCTTCATCATGTAAATTATAAAGACAAGCGAAAATAGGAAATCATAATCAGAACACATGAAGGAAAGAATTTAGCTTAAATAATTAAAAGGAAAAAGCTTAACACACAAACTTCTTGATTGCAAGGACTACAGTAGGCCCAAAGTATTAGTTCGTTGTAATTATTATTTACCAAAAAATTCGTTACATCAATTTTTTACTAATCAAATGGTCAAATATTTTAGCATAATATCAGAAAAGGAATAGCTATGGAATATCGAAGAATACCGAGGAAACAGCCTTAAGCTGTCAGAGAAAAATAACTTGAGTGGAAATTAGAGCAGGGCTCATCTGCATACAGTAAGTTGAAATATTTAGATAATCTTACAAAAAACTTCCTGACCCGTAAAGAGATGAAATAATCGAACACTTTTCGGTGAATTATTTCTACCTCAAGCACTGAAACTATGGGAACTTGATGAAGAAATTCTTTTCCAGTGGTTATTATGAAAAATGAAACCTAACAATTTATTCGATGAATTTGCTCTTCTCATGAGAAGTACATGAAGTTAATGTTCTTTATAATTTTGCAGCCATGTCTGTGTAATCATCGTGAACTAACATGGAGGGTAAAAAGCTGCAGGTGATCACTACTAAAGTCGTGACTAAAAGTAGGAAATTTGCAGTAACCGTAAAACGAACAGTAATGCATTCGATATGAATTTTTAGCAAGATCGATGATGCGAAAATTCCATCAGAATCAGGAAATTAGCTAATCTAATTCCCACAGATTTTAAATATTCACAACATGGTTGGGTGATGAAGTTTACTGACCAAACACTTCATGGACATTTATCCAATCAGCTACACATCAGTTTCATTGGGCAATCTGAAAGTAAACCTATATTTCAAAAAATTTGTTACTTCTGTCTATGACGTACATTCAAGATGTTGTCCCATATATTCATAATATCAAATATAGATACGTGTATTTATAATGTCAAAAATATAATTGAAACTTATCTTTCTCCCGAATTCCTTACATACACAATAAAGAAGTGATTCTGTAATATGGAGAAGTGAATCGTTTTTCCCATTGCAATTTACTTCTAAAGAAATTTCTTCCCTTTTCTTTAAAAAAAAAAGAAAAAAACATTAACGATGCAAAACTTTGTTAATAACTAAGTTAATATTAAACAATAAGATGGTACAATGAAAACAAAAGGAAGTTTTAACAACACAGAAGTAAATGAAGTCATAAAAAGAGTTATCTTTTTCGTTGTCACTTCATTGCACGACGAGTTTTGCATCATTTGAATTGAATGAAATAAAACAAGACAGAAGGAGCAGTTTATAATCGATGAACCGACCGACAACTATAGAATCATCTCTTTAAAAATATTAGTGATTGAAATAACATGATGAAAAAATGGCAATACAAATATGCAAAGCATATACAACGATAAATGAACAGATTATCTATATGAACAACAAATAAGTAAATCTAAGGAAATGATCAACAGTGTGATGTAATGGGTAAAATCACAAGTGTTTAGTTCTTCAACGAGAAAATGTTAACTTTATCAACTCTAGCAATACTCAGATTTCCTCTAAATTAATGTAAATGATTACTAAGATAGAAATATTTTGTCGGACTTTTTCAATTTTTAATAAAGAAGTGATTAAGCAATTTATCAATTGCATCTAAATGAGAGAAGATTCGAAAAATTTTTCAAGCAATTTCCAGAATATTCCATGTTCCACCAATTCTGCTATTATTTTGTTGTCCGGCTTTCGTTATGAAAACATCATTAATTTTAAAATTTATATGTTCTGCTGCCGAAGCTGTGATTAGTTGATTTTTTAATATCTATCTGTTTCTCAACCTAAACTTTATAGCTGTTTGATGCAACGATCAACAGCCCCTTGGATTGTAAATCATTTCTACGTTACTAAGATTCAAATATCATTTTGAAAGAATAATGGAAAAGTGAATAATTGACTAAGAAAATTATCTAAGAGAGTAGCAAGGATAGGATGGTATCACGAAAGCAAAAGAATAGATTTTCAACTTTTTATTTTAGTTTTTGCTATTTGGGATTAAAAATATGAACAAAATGTGCGAAACGAATACATATTCAGTTATAAATTGATACAAGAAAGCAATTAGGGTAATGATATTTTTGAAGGGATTAGTAATCCTCTTTGATAGCTACTCTTTTTCCATGAGTACTTTGTCCTTGCTGAACAATCGCTGTAATCAGCTTAACAAATTAGAAAACAAAACTCGGCAAAATTTAAATCACAACTATTTTATTTTTCAATAAAGTACTTCATTTTCACCTTTCGTCTCATTTATTTTCCAATTGTTTTCGAAATCCAGTTGATTATCCAAACGACAGAAACCATTATTTTCGATTTTCTGAAAATCCTCTTATAAGCATGTGCAATTTCACTAAGATAGTTTAAGTTAAGTAAGGAAGATGAAAAATTTAAGAAAAGCACTTTAAAATATTCGGATATTTCTTGATTCAAAATTGTATCTTCTTTTCTCATTTATATGAAAACTTATTTCTTCAGGAATTTCTATGGATTTAAAATACAGGTGAACAAAATTTCAAAACTTGACATGAAAAACCTATAAATACAATACACAGCAATCAGTCTTCAAAGATGTCAGTATTTTTAAAAGTCCCCAAAACTAAAAGTCTGTGACAATATCATTCGAAAAAACAATTATCATCTATGAAGTTGGCGCATAAAAGAATTAAGTAAGCATTCTTACCATGTCACACCGATTGTCGGAAAACCGAAAAAAAATATTTATTACACAGTAAGTGTTTAGAATAATACTAATGATTCATCACTACAAACCACTTCGTTATTCCTTTGTTATATCCCATTTTTTTTTTGAAACAATGAATCCTTTATCTAAACCTCAAATAGTAAATGTACATCTGTCTTCACTGTAAATGTTAATCTGCTAAGCCAACCCAGCCCACTTTCTACATCCTTAAAAGCCTTCTTTAATCTGATAACAACAACGAAACGATCGGTGCAGTCTTCTCTTCCTCCTACTCACTCAACAGTACCACTTACTCCTTTGCTGTTTCAATTACTCCACTATATATTTGTCGGTTGATCTCGCTTGCAGATAAGAAGCAAAAGCTTCAGTTCAAGTTCTATAAACTTAAACTAAG